AGGAAAAAGAAGAAGAGCAGTTCTAGTATGTCTGGAGATAGAATAGATAAAAACATATTTTGCTGTTTGAATAATAGTATACAATGATGATGAAAATAACTAACTCTCTGCTCATCTCTGGGGTGAATTTTAATTATTATATTAAAGAAAATGGGTAAATCACAGAATAATAAGTAATGCTGCTTCAGAATATTTTCAGAAAAGTAAATGAAAACAATATATCATTTAATGATAAATATATATATTATAAAATATAACATTAAAGCTAGGGAGTGATAAACACAAACTTCAAGAAAATTGCCAGAAACATCAGTAATGTTCCATTTTTAAGCTACTTGGTGATTTTTCTCATGTAAATAATTAAAGAATTTATTTTAATAACATATAACTGTGTGACTCCTGGTATAAATAGTTTACATGAAACATTTTTGTGGGAGACCAAATATCGGGTCCCAGGTTCTGGCTGTCAGCAGTGGTAGTGCCAGAACACTCTGGCCCACTATTGTATTGTTAATGTCAGCAGGGGTACTTTTGTTTACCTGGCCTGAGGGTAATATGCCTCTTATTTGCATCTGTATGTGCCTAAGCATCTGAATAGGCCCTCACCTGGGCTGAGGAGCTGGTGGTATGTGAGTAACATTTGAGGACAGAAGGTGAGGAATGGAGCCAAATGTTTTACTTTATATTCACTAGGTAGAAAATCCCCATAGCACGTCCATTTGGGGACTATCAGTCTACTCCACCCACACCGGTGCAGGAGTAGAGCATCATAGTGGTACCTCACCTGACATGAATAATATTTAAAGTCTAAGACAAAAAAGAAGCCACAGAAAATATCTCTAAAAGTACCTTGGCCTTTCCTGTCTCTCACCAACTGGTAGGACCTGAAAGGAAATTGAACAAAGGAAAAAAAAATGTTGACATTCAAGGCATTTGTGTCTTGGGAAATTTGAGAAAACCCTTCATTCGTTTCTTTTTCTTTTGGGTGTGGTTAATACAGGGTTTTCCTTGTTGTCCTGGAACTCGCTCTGTACATCACACTGTCATCAAACTCATAGAGATCCTTCTTCTTCCTCCTGAGTACTGGGATTAAAGACATGTGCCACCACTAAGCAGCATACAGAAATGGCCCAGCCATTAAAGCTAGACTCACAGCCCAAAATTTGTTTTCTAACCATAATTCTATCCTAGATCCTGTTCCTTCTTTCTTTCTTTCATCCTTCCTTCCTTTCTTTTTTTATTTTTTATTTTGTATGTTTTTGAGTTTTATCCACTATAATTGCTTTGAGGATTTGCAGTTTGGAATTTTTAAAAACTATCTTATTCCCCCATTTCCTTACCATCCATCTTCTCCTGCTCCCCAAGGACCCTCCCAAACCACCACCACCCACTTCCCAGGCATACTGAAGCCCTCCACAGGGGACCATCAAAGTCCTTTAAATCATTTTGGGGAGGGTCTAGATCCACTTTCATGTATCTGGGCTGCAATAGTATCCCTCCACTGGGAATGGATTTCTAAGGTCTATTTGTACACTAGGGATAAACACTGGCCCAACTGTTAGAGGTCCCATAGACTTCCCAGGAGTCTTGTCTGGCACCCACATTCAGAGGGCTTGGTTTGGTTGAATGTTGGTTCCCCAGCTTTATGACTAGGGTCTCCATGCTCTCACTAGGTCAGGTCAACTGTTTCTGTGGGCTTCTCCAGGACAGTCTTGGCTCCTTTGCTCATCCCTCCTCACTCTCCACAGCCAAATTCCAGGAGTATGACTCAGTGTTGAGCTGTGGATGCCTGCTTCTGCTTCCATCAGCTACTGGATGAAGGCTCTAGGAATAGCACCCAAGGTAGTCATCAGGCTCATTATAGGGGAAGGGAATCAAAGGCAGCCTTTCCACCACTGCCTAGATTCTTAGTTGGGGTCATCCCTGTGGAATCCCGAACATTTCTCAAGTGCCAGACCTCTCTCCAAATGTATACTGGCTCACTGTATCCTGCCCTCCTCTATTCCTTCCCTGTCTTAGTCCTCCTGATCTCTCCTTTTCTCCTCCCTTCTCCCCTTCCCACCTCCCTCCTCTCTACCCAATGCTCCCAATTTGTTCAGGGGTTCATATCCTCCTCCCCTTCTTGGGGGGGCATGTACTCTTCTCTTAGGATCCTCCCTGTTTCCTAGTTTCTCTGGTGGTGTGGATTGTAGGCTGGTAGTCCTTTGTTCTATGTCTAATATGAACATATGTCTAATATATATGAGAGATTACATACTAGATGTCTTTCTCTGATTTGGGTTACCTCACTCAGGATTTTTCTTCCAGTTCCATCTGTTTGTCTGTGAATTTCAAATTTTCATTTTTTTCTGGTAATACTCCATTGTGCAAATGTACCACATTTTCTCCATCCATTTTTTGGTTGAGCGGCATCAAGGTTGCTTCCAGGTTCTGGCCAAAATAAACCATACTTCTATAAACATAGTTGAACATATGTACTTTTTATATGAATGTGCATTCTTTGGGTGTAGGCCCAAGAGTGGAATTGGTGAAAGAAAGAAATTAAAGAAGATACCAGAAAATAGAAAGATCTTCTATGCTCTTGGATGGGTAGGATCAACATAGTAAAAATGGCAATCTTGCTAAAAGCAATCTACAGATTCAATGCAATCCGCATCAGAAATTCAACACAATTCTTCACACACCTGGAAAGAACAATACTCAATTTTATATGTAAAAACAAAAGACCCAGGAGAGCCAAAACAACCCTGTACAATAAAGGAACTTCTGGAAGCATCACCGTCCCTGACTTCAGGCTCTATTATAGAACTATAATCATGAAAACAGTTTGGTATTGGCAGGAAAATAGACAGATAGATCAATGGAATTGAATTGAAAACCCTGATATTAACCCACATACCTATGAACATCTGATTTTTGACAAAGAAGATAAAGTTATACAATGGAAAAAAGAAAGCATCTTCAACAAATCGTGCTGGCATAACTGGATGCTGACATGTAGAAGATTGCTGATAGATCCATATCTATCGCCATGCACAAAACTAAAGTCCAAACTGTTCAAAGACCTCAACATAATTCCAGCCACACTGAAAATCTTAGAAGACAAAGTGGGATGTACCCTTGAATGAATTGGCACAGGAGACCACTTCCTGACCACAGACACTGAGATCAACAATTAATAAAGGGGCCCTCCTGAAGCTGAGAAGCTTCTGTAAGGCAAAGGACACAGTCAATAAGACAAAATGGCAGCCCACAGAATGGGAAAAGATATTCACCAACTGCACATCTGACAGAGGGCTGATTTCCAAAATATACAATGAACTCAATAAGCTATTCTCGAAAACACCAAACAATCCAATTAAAAATTGGTGTTCAGAACTAAATAGAGTTTAGTTCCAATTCCAATAGAGGAATCTAAAATGGATAAAAGACACTTACGAAAGTGCTCAACATCCTTAGCCATCAGGGAAATGCAACTCAAAACAACACTGAGATAACATTGTACACCAGCCAGATGGATAAAATAAAAAACACCAATGACAGTCTTTGCTGGAGAGGATTTGGAGAAAGAGGAACACTCCTCCACTGCTGATGGGAGTGTAAACTTGTATTACCATTTTGGAAATCAGTATGGCAGTTTCTCAGGAAAATAGGAGTCAGCCTAGGTCCTTTTCTTTTACCGGGATAAAACTCATAGTCCCATAAAAGACAGAAAGGATGGATTTATTTCAGCTTACCAGTTATAGTCCATCATCTTAGAGGATGTCAGAAACCATGAAGCTTCCTTTCTCAATTGAAAGCTTATGTTTACCTCACTATCTGATATAACCCAGGACCACTCAACCAAGGATGATGATGTCTAAAGTGGACTGGGGCCTCATATATCAATGAACAATCAAGACATTCTGCTATAGCCATGACCACATGGCAATCTTTTATTGGCAATTACTTTACCAAGGCTTTTCTCTCAGATAATTAAAGGTAAGTTACAGAAACTGAAGCAAAGACCCATAATCAAACATTAGGCCAAGCTCAGGGAATCCTGATGAAGAGAAGGAGGAAGGATTTTAGGAGCCAGAGAGATCAAGAAAATCACAAGAATGCCGGGCAGTGGTGGCACATACCTTTAATCCCAGCACTCAGGAGGCAGATGCGAGCAGATCTCTCTGACGTCAACTCTGTGAGTTCAAGACCAGCCTGGTCTACAAGAGCTAGTTCCAGGACAGCCTCCAAAGCCACAGAGAAACCCTGTCTCGAAAAAAAAAATCACAAGAAATACCACAGAAACTATTAACCTGGCTCATATAAACTCACAGAGTCTAAGGCAACAGCCAGTGGGCCTGCATGGACTGACCTAGCCCCTCTAACAATATGTGACACATTTATAGATTGGTCTACTCGTGGAACTCCTAACAATGGGAACATGGGCTGTTACTAATGCTTTTAATTGGTTCTGAGGAACCTATTTCTCATACTGGATGGCCTTGCCCAGCCTTAGTAGAAGGGGAGGTTTTAGTCTTACTGCAACTTGACATGCCATGCTTTGATGATACCCATTGGAGGCCTGCCCCTTTCTCAACAGAAATAGAGGAGTGGATTGGGGGTAAGGGGATGTGGGGGTGAAGTAATGTGGGGAGGGGGGGAGGGAAACTTTGGTCCTGCTGTAAAATAAATAAATAAATAAATGTAACGAAAACACAAAACATCCATCTTCCATCCAAATTCTCCTCTCTCTCTCTCTCTCTCTCTCTCTCTCTCTCTCTCTCTGTGTGTGTGTGTATGTGTCTCCCTCTCTTCCTCCTTCCTTCACTCTCCCTCCTCTCTTCCTACTGTGTATGAGTGAGTGTCTTCCTATCTACTTTCCAATCAATTCATGAAAACAATCTTCCAATATTTAACATTGCAGATATCATGTTATATCCAATCTGTGGAAAATATTGTCCAATAATAAAACAGTATGATAAACCTTAAAATACAATACCTTCTTTTCTTTATTTTTTCTGGGGAGAGAACAAATGCAGTCCCCCGCCAAATTATGCAGTCAAGTTTCCCTAATTTGGGTAAATCACATGGGCCAGCACATCCAGAGTGCAATGGTTAAGCCTCGCCCTGGAAAAACTACCTTTGTTATTATGGTGTCTCCTCTGCCAGGTAACTATATAAAATACCTTCTTACAGTGGGATTTTTTATATGAAACTTTCACTAAAGTGATACATAGATGAAATATTTTTCAAATATGTCAGCCATTCATTACATAGGAAGAAGAGAACTTTAAAACTCCTGTTGTAAAAGTTCTATCACACAAATGTAAACAGTATGTATTCATTCACCTTCTCTGTTTTACCTCTTCACTAAAGAAATTCATTCTTTCAGTATGTTGTACTAGGAGGCATTGCAACTATGTTTCAAGAAGTACTTAAAACTATTATAAAATGTGTGTTAGTTAAATTTCACACCTTCTTTCATAAAATTTAACAAAGTCATCTTTTGTTGAATATTCTGTTCTTTATTTTCAATTCCCTCTCCTTTAGGATATGTCATCACTATCCTGTTGCCTTTCAGATTCTGTTAAATAATCACCCAACAGATGTAGACTTCATTCTATAACACTGAATAACCTTCATTGTATAACTTTGGCCAGAAGAGGCTCACCAAGCGCACACACTTTGATATATGGTTTAATGCCTTTTTAAAAAATTATTTGCAAATCAATTTTACAAGAACCAGAGTGATTATTTATTTTACCTTATAGAGAATATGCTTAAATATAGAGATTCTCTTACAGTACTTAAAAATGTTATTTAATTCCCAGGCAATCTTTCTGATAGTTTGGAAATCCAGAACCACCAATACATTTGTGGGACTACTGCCCATCAAGTAATTTTCCCAGCCTTCATTTGTGATTTTAGAAATGGTGACTGTTTCCAATCTAGAAGAGACAGGTTTTTTTAAAGCACATCTGTCTATCTTTCCAAGTACAAAGCAGTACATTGTCACTTGAATTTATCCCCTTTATGTAATTTTGACCATTTCAGTATTTATAACTAAGAAATTCTATTTTAACCTCTTTGTCCCAAAGCCATGCATTTTTGCTATTGCTATAATTAATGGTGTTTCTTATATATTATCTTCCAAATTCTGCAGGTGTGTGTGTGTGTGTGTGTGTGTGTGTGTGTGTGTGTGTGTTTGTGTGTGTATATGTCTGTGTGTGTGTGTGTTTGTGTGTGTGTCTCTGTGTGTGTTTGTGTGTGTGTGTGTCTCTGTGTGTGTGTGTGTGTGTGTATGTGTGTGTCGTATGTGTGTGTCTGTGTGTGTGTGGCTGTGTATAGGTGTCTGTGTATCTGTGTGTGTGTGTGTGTGTGTGTGTGTGTGTGTGTGTTTCTGTTATGTAGTGTGGATTAACATGCTATGTACTTTATGCTTATATTGCCTCTATTTTAGATTTGTCATTTCAGAGCATCCCAATTGTTGTGCCATGTTCAGTGTTTGTCAGCAGAGGCTGCCTGTTCTACACTGAGGAACTTATTGTCTTGTGACCATATGAATTAACTTCTATCACCCACAAAAAGCTTGATAAAACTGTCCTTTAGAAGTCCACTCAGGCCAGCAGAGTTCCCACTAGATAATACTAAGTAGAATTATATATAGCACTCTGTACTTTTCACAGACTACTGGCCATCACCCCTAACAGTGTCTGGGATAACCCCAGGGGCTAGAAAATATAAAAGAACAAGTGAAGCAATTGGTAATCACTCTGTGTCAGACAGCAAGAGCGTCTCAATTTCTCAATACACTTAATATGCTATATAATGCCCTCTTTCTCCTCTCAGCAATATTCCTTATAATCTGTAATGTGTTTTTACACCTGCAGAGCTGATGTTACGATTGGCAGTTGTCTGTTGGAGCTTCCTGGTATACAAAGTCAAGAGGGCCCTCTGGAATTGAATGTGTGTGACTTTTGTTTCATAAGCACTCTACTTTACTGCCATTGAAATTACATTAGGGAAATCAGTGTGGAATCTGGGGCTAGCGGTGTTGTGTTCATTACAATTGAAAGAGAGGATCTGAAAGGAATTTCCATATGAATTTAAATATTGTACAGTTTAATATTATGCAGGCCTCAAGCTTAAAATCTGTTTTATGTGTATGATTCTTAAGAGAAAATGATCAAAGGACAGCCTCCATGCACACAGAGAAGCACCATAATAAAACCCATGAATAAAACTCAAAGACAATCTCTGTTTAGAAAAGTCAAAAGCTCCTAGGTTTTTGTAGCATTCTATGAATCAATAAGTGGTAGGATAATAAGATGTTGACTTAGCCTGAGGAAGTATTACAAAAGCACAGGGTAAAAATGAAAATATAATTTTATATACTAATAAATTTCAATTTACTGTTTTGTTGTAGCAATCAAGAAATCCATATGCAATTAAAATATGTATATATTTTTGAGAAGTACTTACATTATAAGGGTTATGATATTGAAAATTCAATTAAGCAATCAACAAATTAACTAGCAAATGGATTGTGCCTGTTGTGCAAGCTAGCTTCTTAAATACATTTTTTAAATAACTTTGTTATATACATCAAAGAGACTACCTTCAAAGTATTTTAATGTTCAACAAGAAAAAATCATTTTATGCCCAATTTTACTCTGATATAGACATTAACAAAACCATATAGGTCCATATGAAGGTAAAGACAAGATGCTAAGAACATCAGGGATTTGGTCTGGTTTATTAAAATGACACTAAATTTTTAATTCACTTCTGTAATTTTGTAGATGAATGCACTAAAAAAAAACCAATTTTTTAGGACTAGGCTCATATTATTCCCATTTCAAACTTCCAAGATTGAAAGGACACTTAAAAGTATGCTATTTCAATTATTTGCTGCTTAATATTATACCAGAAATCTGTGAACCTTGAAAGAGTCATTATACTTAAAAAACGAAATTATACTGGCTAGGGTGGAAATTTTAAGTGAGTCTGCAAAATACAGTCCCCCAGCTCTGCTTATTATTAAAGTGCTTATAATGAAGTAAGACATTATTTTGATCATTACAGTGGACATCTAGAAGTGCTTGGAGATTCCTCCTAGGAAGGGCAATTCTATACATAAGCTCACAATAGGAAAAACATATTAAGAAGGGAAATATTTTTAGAACCTAGTTGTAAATTCCTGTTTAAAAATTACACAATCAGAGCACAAGGGAAAGTTTTTTAGCCACAATTAAGCAGAGAAGCAAACAGGAGGCCTGACTGGGGCTCATTGCTGGTTTTGCTTTGGGCAATGAGAAGGTGCTACAAGGGCAGAGCTTTCCACTAAATTCTTAGTCAGACCAGTAAACCTTAGAAAAGGCTTGGGCATGGGAGGAAGCAGGTACCTGGACATGGGGGAGAAGAGGGATTGTGGTCACATTCTGCTCCCTTCTGATTGCTAAGTGCTATTCCAGGAATCCTGCCAATTTGTGGTTCTTACAGGCAGAACTTATAGCCATTTCTCCTTAGGGTTTCCTATACAGTGACTGCTTGGCCTCAATAAAGGTTCATTACTAGCCCACATCTTCTGGCGCTTTGGATTTCAGTGAATGACAATGAAAAACTTAGACTACATATGACAAAATTGTACTTTATCTCTAATTTTTTTTTTATGGTCTGTTTTCTTGAAGAAAGAGCCACAGGAAAGGGCTTAGGAATCAAGTAAATGTTATCCTAGCCAGTAGGTGGTGAAGGGAGTCTAACAACAGGAAAGCACCCCCAAAACAAAGAAAAGCCTCTTTAGGCTACAACACTGATCTTGTAAAACAAACATTCTGAGGTTTATTAAATGTCTGCCAGAACTTTCAGCCAAGAGGACCACAAGGAAGATTATCTTTCCAATAGCTTGTGTCACCTGCTTGCCAATAATAGCACCACAGGTCCTGACATTGCATTCCCTTTTACCTCTTCGGGAATGCCCCTAGCACTCCTTTAAATCTTCCAATTTGGGTCATCGAGAGTTTCAGGAGAGCTAGACAAAGTCTGTTCCCGAGAAGAGACTGTCATGAGCTTACTTTCCCAGAAACATAGACAAACACACTTGACACTTTCCATATTGTCAGAATTTAGAGATTAGCAAAGAACTCACAAGCCATTGTTGCATTGTTAGCTGCAATTTGACTAGTAGTCAAAATTTATACTTACTATTGATAACCACTCCATTAGAATCTGACTACAAATAATCATTCTTAAATTCCATATTACATATCACATAGTAAATATCTCTTCATATACATGTATCTATACACACATTACATATATTATAGTATAGACATAACATAAATAAATGTAGATCACAAAATGACCACATAAGAGATAAAGATGCTATAGCAGAGTCCAAGGAGCTAAAAAAAGGGTCCTTGTTGGAGGCAGAAGCCAGTAAAAGAGATGTAGAATAAATGGCAGAAGAGGTGAGGACAATAACCCTTACTAAACAGCTACTGCTTGGAGATACAGCCATAGAGACAAATCACAGTGTCAGGGGTTTGAACCAAGTCACTGGTTTGAATCAAACTGCAAAAATAAAGTTTGAGATCAGAAGGTGGCTGGATCTGGAGGATAAACATGGTTCTGAGTAGCCTATGTCAGCCAGAGAGACTGAGCTGAGAAGAAACTCTTGGGGATGATTGGAAATTTTCCATTCATTCCTTGATGCATATACAAGGTCTGGTGACAGCTTGGTGAGGACCAGACAATCATGGTCTTACATGTCTAGATGTGAGGGTGTGGCACCCTCCACAATCTGGTATATCCAGTAAGATCTTAGGCAAATTTTTTCTGTTATGGCTTTAATATACTCATGAATTCATTTTATCAGTTTTCTATGACAAATTTGTAGTGCAATGCCATTCTTACTGTGTGTGGGGGGAATTATATATCAGGCTGTGCCTTATAGGTGGACCTGGAGAGATATTGTTATTTATGTACCCAAGGCACAGTGTCTGTCATACAGCCTCTGCACTTGTATTCAAAGTGGGGTCAAATCCTGCTTGTAAAACAGTTTCCTGGACTAGGAAGGGCATGAACAGCATTATGTTGCACAGTACTGAATAACTTACAACAGCAGAAAATTTGATTTGGTCAGATATAGTCAAATTATATCTGTATAAGGATAAAG